GATTCTTAAAATTTACGGCGATAATTCCTTTAGTGATGAATATTATTTTTCATGTATCACAATATATCAAGTCTCTCAACTTAATGAATAAATTACATATTTCAGGGTCAAAACTATGTGAAATTTCTTAAAGTAAATAAATAAATATGTGCACAAAATAAATGAAAAACATTAAAATTGAATAAAAATCTTATCAAAATAATAAAAATTACCTATAATAATTGTCAAAATCAAGTCTCATTTGTGCTATATGATTTTTAAAATTCTTTGGTGTCATGCTTTTAGTCAAAGAATTGACAATCATTAACTTAATGCTAACATGTTTAATGATCACTCTGATTTCTTTAATACACTTTTTTATGATTAAATATATAATGTGTATGCGTTTACTTTGACTTTCACTCTTAGTTATTATTAGCCATAAATATTACAACAAAATTGTATCATAGAACAACTTCAATGACCTAAAAATAGACTCCATAATTCTAAGTCCAAATATAAATCTCTTCAACTATACAGGATGCATTCTGCGACACTATCTCAAGTTATTAATTGATGTAAAATAATATATATATATATATATATATATTAGTAAAACAAAATGTAGTTTGTATTTTAGTTATCTTCAACCTTTAACCAGATTAGTTTGATTTAGTTTAAAACTTGAAAACTCGAAATTAAACCTAGTTTTAGGCCGAAAAAAGCAAATTTTTATCTCTTTTCATATTTAGTTTTGATTGAAAGGGTCAAAACATACAAAATCTATATTAAAAAAAAGTATTCAAGCTTTTCAAAAACAAACAATGTAGAGGCACAAAAGCTATACCAAATGTAATTAAAAGGGAAGCAAAATCAAATCGATATAGTAACTTCTAATTATTGTTAATCAGTTTGCACTAAACATGATGTTAATTTTCTAAACCTTCATTCGTTCAAAATAAGGTGCTGTTGTATTTTTAATAGAGGAGCATACTTAGTAAAAAAAATAGATGAGCATATAAAATATTTATAGGAGTCTATCTATTATAAAAATCAAAATGATAAAATAATAGAAATAAAAAAATCCACTAAATTCAAAATTACCAAATAAATGGACTACATAATTAACAAACTCCTTCAAAGTAGAAAACATAATTTGTTACTATTTGTAACCGGATACAAACAGAACCTATTCTATTTTGAATGATCAAATATAAATTTATTTGTAAAATTCGATGATTCCCAAGGCAGAGAATACACGACAGGCAACTTGGAATCTTGAAAATCCAGAGAGCTTGCACAAAGACTCGTATCCCTTTTCAGTTCTTTCCATTCCCCCATTTGTTATATACATGACGTGGTCGAGGGTGGAGACAAGCTTTGCTGCATTCGACTTTGATGCTTCTGGTGTTATAAACTCTATGACAATCACCTTTCCATCTTGTGGCAGTGCACTGTGACAGTTCCTCAAAATGCTTACGCATTGTTCATCTGACCAATTGTGTAATACAGCCTACCATAATGTAATTGGAGAAATTAATAATATTTTTGTTGACAAAATTGTCGGATCAATCATTCTGAAATTTAAAATTGAAGTGTCACAAAAAGTTTTCTAACCTTCACAATTATGGCATCACCCTGGGCTACATAATTGAACATATCTCCTCCAACATGTTTTATCCCTTAATTTATGCAATTTTGGACAGTGTTTCAGTCAATGCTTTAGTTAAAAAAAATGTACTTGCATGCATCATCAAACCAATGTAAAAGTGACGATCGAAATAAAAAGGGAATGGCATAATACATACCTGTATAAGCTGGTGCTTTTTCAACAACTTGGGCAAATCAAAATTGATACCCTTGATTGTAGGGTACTTGGAGATTATCATGTGAAGATTTTGCCCTGTACATCCTCCCACATCAACCAGGGTTGAAACTCCTTCAAATTCTTTATACACTTCGAGGATCCTATTCATCTCTATAATGCAGATATTAGCCATTGATTTGTTGAAAATGTAATTCAATTTTGGATCCTTTTCAGTGCATTGGTACAACGACATTCCATGAACCTCCTTGACTAGGTCCTTCTGAGTATCAATAATTACATCCTTCAAATTGGGCCTGAAATGAAAGGAGCAAGTCAAGGTAAAATATAAACACTTGCTTGAACTAACCAACCAACTTTGGTGATCTACTCATAATAGTAATGTTTGTGTGTAGTGCTAATAATACTGTAAAGCAAGGAAAAGTAGGTACCAAAGTTGGGACAGTGTGGGATAGTTGAGAAATGATGTGATTGTAGCTGCACATCCCTTTCTTTCATCATTGACGAAGTACTTTCCAACAGGTGAGAGTCCATAAGATCTCCGAATGCTACCATCTTCATCGATGTGAGTGAAAGAAGTGAGAAGAGAATAGCTTGCAAGCAAACGCAGCATGCGTTCAATCCTATTAGGCAAGTCTGTGTGTTGGTTTGGTAACATAGAAGCAATTTGTGATGCTGACATGGTTTCACCTTTTGGGGTTCCCTTTGCTATTATGTCAAACAGTTTCAGCTCAACAGCAGCATTCAGTGCTGAAGGAAACACTTGAATAATGCAGAGTAACAAAGCATGAAGGCAAGCCTCATCCTCTCCCTCTTCTTTCGGAGACATTTTCACTTCAACATCACTTGTAGAGTAGGAACCCATATTTGCTTCTTCTCACTCTTTAACTTGTTTTTTGGTGATGTGTTGCCTCTCCTACTGCATTTGCTTTTTATAGCCAAATTTGGTTCTCAGTTCCATAAGACATTACTGATTTATGTTAATTACTAAATTATAAAATATGAACTCGATATGCATGCCAGCCGTCGATGTTTAATATAATCATGTAAAAATTAATAAATTTTAAGCATAAGATTTATATAACTTTTATAATTTTTAATAAATTTTAGTAAATAATTAAAAATATAAAACATAACGTGTTATTAGTATTTTTCTTTATTAAACATATTTTTAACATGTTTTTATGAATTTTAAACCTTTCAAAATATATAAAGAAACTTGTATCAGAATTTGATATTTTAAAAAATTATTTTAATTATTTAAAAAATAGACTAATAATAAAAAAATGTTAAAAATGGTATGTTTTAATCATTCCTTGTTACTGTATCGTGTTATCTTGCGTGTGATCTGTGTTACATGTTGAATTTAGGTGTATTTAACTATATACCTTGGTTGTCTAGTTCAGAGAGCAGATTATGTATGATCTTTGTCTGATGGAGTAGATTTTGTGGAAGAAAATGATAGATGCAGAGAAAATACCCTTAGAAAATACTAAGGAGTGGCTGAGAAGGATTGAGCTGAATGAAAAATTATCAACTGATTCGTTATTGTTTGGTAAAACTATTGTCTGAAATATATGGACAGGAGGGGAGGAGCCAGGGATGGTGTTATTTGGGATGTAACATTTCAGAAAACTCCTTCTCTCTGTCATTACATTAAATCAGCTTTGCGTGTTAGTATTAATTAAGCAAGCATCATTCATATTATGGGGATGAATCAAATTAAACTAAAATAGAATTAAAAGACTAAACAAAAACCTAAACTAAAATATTATTTCTACCCTTGTTAATTTCATTTACTTTATCTTCTTTGTATAAGAAGAAATTATTATATGATTTAAGATCATTAAATGTCCAGGATCTTAACTAATCTTTACATGATACACAGCAAAATTATTCTTTTTTATTACTATTTTTCTTTTATTTTTGTGACCCAGAAAAAAGTCATATCTAATAAACCAAGTTTTAGCAACGTTTGCTGTTACATTAACAAAAAGTTGTAGCAAGCTTCATTGAAAAGGTATGGACACCTAAACTAAACTTATGGCCAAAACTAGCTGTGATTAAGTAAATTCACTTCCTCCCAAACATGCCATGCCGGAATTCAACTATCCAATATTTTTGAATAAGCTATTGAAATTCTTAAATTAGAAGTTAATCAAAAAAATAAGATTTAGGTGCAATATATAATATTGTTGATATGTTTTTGAAATATACCTTAAGTTTTATTTTCATAATATATATTAACTTTTAAAGCTGATATTTAATATTAAACTATATTATTAGGTTATCAATATAAAATTTATCTTCTACTTTGAAAAATAATACCAATGGCAATAGTAGCTCACTACCAAAAGTATCGTAATTCAAATTAGTCTTTAGACATTCAATTTACAAAAAATAAACATTGTATTTTGAGTCTTATTTCGTAATAACTTTGCAATAGAGTTTCTCTTGTATCAATCTACAACACACTTGCTCAAGACAATTTGTTTTAAATTAAGAAATAAAGAGAGGCATTCACTTGATCATTTTGTCAATAAAATAATAACCCTTTAAAACAACAAATTCAACTAATTAATTACTTTAATTTGGACGAAATCAGCTAAATCATTCCAAATTTTATGAAGTACTTGATGATTGTTTTCATAACTTGCTTAAATACATGCTATTTCTTCTCTTGCATACACGGTATACCGTCCTCCCAAAATTGAGATTTTTCTCGTACTAGTTAACTGCTCTTACTTCAATAGATAAATTTGACCTCAACCATTTTTTATTTTCTTTATAAAATAAAAAGTTTACGACATCTCATTTAATAATTGATCCTGTAGACACACCATAATTTCATGACCTTATTTTTTAAAATTAAAATTAAATATTTTAAAAAATAATTATATTAATGTATTTTACAATATTATTTATTTAAATTTAACTTAAAAAATTGACATTAACATCTTTCCTTTTTTTTCTCCCTTGACTTCATGATAAAATTTATTCGTAGGTCTACTGTTTCAGTGGTGCAGCAACTTTTTAATTTACCATTTACACACACGTGTTTCAAAAGGAAAGCGAGTGGATTGAGATAGGTAGTTGCGCGTCTCACCAGTAATCAATAGTTTTAATTTCTTTAAATTATTTAAACTTTTAAAGCCATGTTACTATTAAAAGCCTTTAGTCAGTCATTTTGTTTCTTAAGTTTTTGTTTTCTTTCCTTTCTCCCTCTCTCTGTCTGAATATCGAAACCCTAGACATTCATCTTCCAGAATCTGACAAGTTTCCTTAACAGAACCCTAGATTTCCTCATCAAACCCTCATTTATCCAAATCAGATTCTCCAATCCCCACCTCGATTTCCCGCATCGGTTCCTCCCTCGATCGGCGACGTTTCCGAACAATTCAATTAATTCATCGTCGATACCGTTACGGTGGCTAGCGCATGGGTAAGATTCTCCGAGAAACCGCGAAGCCGTCCTCGAATTCTTCATCGGCGTGTCCCTCTTCGGCACCCGCAACGACGTCGTCTTCTTCAGTGACCGAGACTGTGAGGGGTTCGCACCAGTTCAAGATCACAGGGTACTCCCTTTTGAAAGGGATGGGAATTGGGAAGTACAAAGCTTCCGACGTGTTTACTGTTGGTGGATACGATTGGGCCATTTACTTTTATCCGGATGGTAAGAGCGTTGAGGACAATGCTACCTACGTGTCCCTCTTCATCGCGCTCGCCAGCGACGGCACCGACGTTAGGGCACTTTTTGAGTTGACTCTACTGGATCAGAGTGGTAAGGAGAGGCATAAGGTGCATAGCCATTTCGAGAGGACCCTTGAAAGTGGGCCTTACACCTTAAAATACCGCGGTAGTATGTGGTGGGTTGATTTAAAATTTTAATCGTGATTTTCCGCCTTTGAATTTTGTTCTATTTTCGTGCTATATTTGTCTGAAAAATAAAAACAGCTTTGGGATAATCGGTGAAGTTTCCATCTAAGTATGTTAGTTAACGTCCGTGTAATATGTGTGATGTGACTGAAGTTGTTAATATTGTTGAACATTGGTAGGTTTGCATGTTGAATTTTAAGTATATCAAAAGCTAACGAACGAGTATACTTATGGAACTGGTTATGAAGACAAAAATAGAAACTGTTTAATGAAAACAAACACGACTTTACCTGCCTTTTTAAGCAAGGGAAGGCATTTAATTAGTTGGAGTAGAGTTTCCTTACAAGTATCCAATGATACTTATTCAACAAGAGTCTTTAAAAGTGTGTTTTGCTTGTGCACGCACGGTTGAGCCAACATAACTCTTTGTAACATTAAAGATAAATTCGAGTTTATTTTCAAAAAACGCAGAACCAGACATGCAGTAAATATTTCAACTTTAGAAGGTTTGAGGTGCTAAGTTTATATTTCCATGTCCTACCCTGCCTGTCTTATCCTGAAGACAGCTGTTGTATATCAATTGCCTGTTTGTTTACCAATCATAATTGACTCTAAGCACCTTATGAGCCATAAAATCAATTTCTAGCGAAAGTTCTGAGAGGAGATACATTTCAATTCCAAAGAAATGGAGATTCAATAAATATACAAACAGGCCACAAGTTGTGTGATTGTTTTCTTTTTAATATACGAGGTAAGTCTTGTTGGGTACCGCATGATTGTACCTTTTAATAGCGTGTGGTAGTGCCGCTAAGGTGTCAACGCAGCTGGCCACTATGCTGAAGTCATTCCAAAACTCAAATATGCCCTACATTTTTTATCTTAATTTGCAGTATTTTGGGGTTTTCATGTCATAATAAAATGGGTTTCAAAAGGGTTCTTGAAAAAAGTCAAAATCTGATTTTTGCACTCTCTTTTCTCTCTACCTGCCTATTACTGTGCGACTCATCTGCCCATTGCTCTTCGATGATTTTCCAGCCACGTCCCGGTATTTCCCGGTCAGCTCTTGGTGTGTTCTGGCAAACCCATGCTCTCTGTCCACTGATTCTGCATTTTCAGTCAAATGCCCTGTTTTCTTTTTTGTACTCACTGTTCTGCTGCATGTTGTTTTCTCTCCTTTTCCTCTTCGTTTTTTAATTCTCTTTTTCTTTATTTTTTGTCGGTTAAGGACTCCCTTTTATTTTTCTGAATGCTCTCCTTGTTCTAATTTTTTTTTTTTTTTTTGGTTCTCTTGTTTAACTTATTATTTTGTCATCTATCTCCAAAAGACCCAAACTCATTATTTTGTCTAAGGTCTCTCCTTGCTATTTATTTGTATGTTTTTGTTTAAGACTTATGACTTCTTATTGTCAATTATGAATATGTCATGAATTTTGAGTTTTATTTTTTATTTTTAAAGCATTTATATATATACAGACCCAGTTTGAACAAACTTCTCTATAAATATTTATGAGTCAAAAATAAAATAGTAAAATGAATCAAATTTTTCCCATAAGTTAGTATCAATTTATATTTCTCTTTTTTTTTTTTTATAAGTTCTGTCATTTAACTTATTTAAAACTTAAGGAGATAAGTTGCTTTTAACTTATGATAAAATTTGTATTCATTTTTCATATTGATTTTTTTTCTTCTATGAGGACTTCCCTAAAAGCTTACTCAAACTGGGTCATTGTATAAATTTTGTAATTTGTATACAAAATTTCAGGATAATGGTTGTTCCGCAATGTGCTATACTGCTATAGCATATTTAGGACCGGCTGCCTCATGCAGCTAACCAATAACCTATGGGTTTCGTGGAGCTTTTCAAGGGGGTGAAATCTTTCATCCCTTGCTCCCACAAATGCAGCTGGGATGCTGTGGAAAAGGGATGAAGGGAATAATATTTGGTGCCTGGAGGGAGAGGGTGGGGAAAAGTTTATTGTCTTTTTATGTAACTACTTTATTAATTGCCACTTGTACAATTTCTGCACACACACAACTGTTTGTCAGAATGGAATCTGAAGTTCTGAACAGTTTGGTAAGTGCTAATTGTTTGATGCTGGATGTTTCAGGGGTTACAAGCGGTTTTTTAAGAGAACAGCTCTGGAGACATCAGACTACCTTAAAGATAATTGCCTCTCAGTGAATTGTAGTGTTGGCGTTGTGAGGTCACGGACAGAAGGTCCTAAAATCTATTCCGTAGTAATACCTCCATCTAACATTGGTCAGCAATTTGGGCAACTGCTGGAAAGTGGTAAGGGAAGTGATGTGAATTTTGAAGTGAATGGAGAAAGTTTTTCTGCTCATAAATTGGTACTAGCAGCTCGTTCACCTGTATTCAGGGCACAGCTTTTTGGTCCTATGAAAGATCAAAATACCCAGTGTATTAAAGTTGAAGACATTGAGGCTCCAGTTTTTAAGGTTTATTGTATGCTCTTTGTGCTTCCTATTTTTTTTTTTTGTAATGTGGTTGCCATGCATTGTCTTGGTTTTTACATTTGTCTATATCCCTAATCACACATTGTGCTTCATGATTTTATAGTTTTTTTTTTCTCTTGCATTTTTCTTTGTAGTTCCATTGTTGGGCACTAGTCTTACCCACTCTCATGCTCTGATACATCTATTAGATAGGTGTATTGTTCTGAAATGGGTTTGAAAAAAAAAAAAATCAATTTTTGTGCTTCTTCCTTATGAGAAAAAGACATATTTCATTGAATTTCCCTTTTAGCCATATGAATGGACACTAGTTTGTTTGGGAAGTCAAAGATTCTGTGGTACTGTTGTGGTCCAGATGGTGGTATCTTTTTGGCTCTTGGATGGTCACTCATTTTTGGGGAGTCCACATAGAGAATGCATGGATCTTTTTGAAAGAGCAAGAAAAAAATTGATATAGACAAGTTTTTATTTAAATTGATACAATGAGTTTGTTTAGTAGATTGTGGTTCCTTAGTTTATAGGTTCTCCTTGGGGAAGTTGTACCAGCTGGCTCTGACTTTATAGTTTCCTTTTCGAAGTGCTGCATGTCAATTCAATTTTGATCGTTGAGGTCAATGAACGAGATTTGATGTCTCATATAATATATAGTAAATAGTTTGTTTGATACTTTGATATGCAGAGAAAATTGAATGGAAATAGAAGTTAAAATCTTATCTTTATTGATTTCTTTACTTTAGTATATAATTGTCTTTAGAAGGAAATGTTTTAGTTTTGGTTTTTTGTAAATATATTATGGGAATACACTGTGACTCTAATTTCCATCCAATTACAACATGGAAGGTTTGTGTCTAACTCTAATGTGAACGTGACTTCGTTTAGCTTGATAAATTAGGCTCAGCTGTGTCTTTTCTCTATTTTGCAGGCATTGCTTCATTTTATATACTGGGACTCACTACCAGACATGCAAGAGCTTACTGGATTGAACTCAAAATGGGCATCAACCTTGATGGCTCAGCATCTTCTAGCAGCAGCTGATCGGTATGGCTTAGAGAGGCTTAGGCTGATGTGCGAAGCAAGTCTATGTGAAGATGTTGCAATTAATAGTGTAGCTACAACTTTAGCCTTGGCAGAGCAGCACCATTGTTTCCGGCTGAAAGCTGTCTGTCTCAAGTTTATTGCTACTTCTGAAAATCTCAGAGGTTTGTTTTTCTTCTCTGAACTTCTACTTCGTCACTTACTAAGAAAAGAAGAACAATAAATATTTGGTGATCATTGTGACACTAAATGGTCTGAATATGGATTTTTAAGTATGACTGAAAATTAAATTTGTTGCTGAATATTGACAGTAATGCTTTTCAATTATCATTTTGTCACTATTTTGTCCTCCAGTATGAGCATGAATGGAAAAATGCTAAGTTGTGAAGGGTTTATTTGGCTTTGCTTTAATGTGATTTTTCCTATTTACCACTAATTATCCATGCAAATAGTGCTGAGTGACTGTCCCATGGTGAGCTCAATGTCTGGTACGACCAATTTGTACCAGTAAACCTTATGAACGTTTCCGCTTAGGGGGAGGGGTTGGGAGTGTGTAAATTTTGCATTTCTGCTTCCTTATCTCTCTTCTAAATTATAAAAAAGGAAGACCGAGGATACATCATACATTGATTATGGAACAATTAGTTACGTCTTCCAAGATTTTGGTTTAACTTAGGGGACAAATATTTGGTATTCATATTTTAATAACATTTCTTTGTGGTTAACAACACATCTCATGGGATTGGAAAGATGGCTATTACGAAAATTTCTGTTACAAATATCTGTCTGGACCTATTTGAGTGAAATTTTGGCAACTACTTTATTGTTCATCCAGAATATTATTACTGAGCTATTTTCATCTTTTTGGTTCTTCAGCTGTGATGCAAACTGACGGATTTGAGTACTTGAAGGAAAGTTGCCCATCTGTTCTGACTGAGCTATTGGAGTACGTGGCTCGATTTACTGAGCATTCGGACTTCATGTGCAAGCATAGGAATGAAGCAATACTTGATGGCAGCGACATAAATGGGAGGCGGGTGAAGCAAAGGCTCTAGCGGGAACACTGAACAGCTTTCTGTACAACCTCTTCCACTCTCCTTTTTAAAAGATAGCGAGAGCCATGGAGGGAGATTATAATCTTTATAGGATCAGAGGCAATTTTTAATTTTCTTAGCTTATTCATGTGTAAGAGATGTAAATGTAATTTGTGTTTATGTTGTTACTGTTCTGTTTGACGTAGGTTTCTGTAACATCTTCTGTATTTCTTTTTACTGGAAAACACGTCTTGAAAGTATTGATCTCTAAGTTTGTTTTTGTATTTTATCTCTGACATTCTGTATGTTTCTTCAGTCTAGCAGCATAAGTACTGCAAAAACATTTGACTGGCATATTCTGATAGAATTATATCTTCATTTTATACCAATTACTCCTGTAATAATTTAAGCCGCAGTCGTTAGATTATCTTTAGTTGGGTCTTAAAAGAGTCCTCCTTATGACCATGAGCCCAGTAGTCGTCGTGTTATGAACACATTTTATTACTGATACTTTATCAAATTAGTTGTCTAATTGCAATTTTTTTCTCGTTTTTCGCTTAATTTGATTATCATAATAGCAAATTGGGAAATTTGAATTCGTTTTAAACTATTTTATAAAGGTGTGAAAAAAATATTTAATTATAAACTTTTGAGAAACAATAGGCCAAAAGTACGAATTTTTGTTAACGAAAATTTGTCTCATGATTGGAACATGAGGCTGTGCTTGAGGGGAGATTATCTACTTAGTACTTTCTGTTTCTTAAGTGCATGTTTGGTTTAAGGGATTATTTTGTGAACAGTTTATTTGAGTTTAAGAAAATAGTTTGATGTTAAGTTTTTTTTTTTAATAATATTTTAATAAATTTTATAGTCAAATTTATCACATAAACTTTCATGTAATATGCTATGATTTCTTTTATTGAGGTTGTGATTTAAGCAAAAAGAATTTAATTCATAAGATTAATTTATTAGGTTAAAAAGTTATATAACTTAAGTATTACATTGAAAGCTTTAGTTTACTTAATGGATAACTCATAACATGATATAACTTAAATAATTATTTAATTAAATTATTAATCTAAATATATCTTTTGCATGTGAAATAATTATTTATTTTAATTTTTTAAAACAGTTTAAGTGCTTTAAAAATTATATATAATAAATTTTTATTAATGATGCACACGTAGAAAATCGATATATTTTAATGTAAAATCCAAACTTAGAAAGTGCGCGCTGGCCAAGGGAGAAGGGAAAAGTGCAATGGGTTTAGGCGGGGACAGTCTGATGTGGGGGCAATTTGGGCAGAAGGGTAGAATTTCATAATAATAATAATAATAAAATTTTTTGGAAGAAGAGAGCGTGAGCAAGGTTAAAATTCTGGTATCATTTTGTTTCCCACCACTGCGCCCCCTTTTGCTTTCGCTCTGTGTAATCCTTTGTCCTTCTTGGCCTTGCGAAAATGGTAAATATATTATTTTCTTGCTTTCTTTCTTCTTTCTGTTTTCTCATTTTCGGGGCTGCAACGGTTTGGTTTTGGTGCAGTTGTTCTTCTCCTACTTCAAGGATTTGGTGGGCAGAGAAGTAACCGTGGAGCTCAAGAACGATTTAGCCATCCGAGGGACACTGCATTCTGTTGACCAGTATCTCAACATCAAGCTCGAAAACACTCGCGTTGTCGATCAAGACAAGTACCCTCACATGGTGTTGTATCCCTCTCTTTCTTTCTAGGGTTTTTCTTTTTTTCACTTCTGTCACACGTTCCGTTTCATACTCTTCACTAGTTGTTTGCTCTATCAATTTTAGGCGTTATGTAGGGTTTATCAGGTTTTCAATTTTAAATTTGGATTTAGATTCAATAGATTATAATCTCTCTTCTTAGGGATTTTTCTTTTTAATAAAATCAGCATATGTAGAAATTGGTAATTGAGTTGTTTTGTTAACATCGTCTACGTCTCAATGACTTGGGTGTGATGTTGATGTTGGAGTTCAGAACTCTCATCAGGCTAGATGCTACCTTCCCCACTACCCTTTGCAGGTGCTTAAATTACACCCCAACATAACCAAGAATTAAAAATTAAAATAAGGTTTTTTCAGTTAGTGTTTGGCCTGACTATTTGGATAAGCTGGACCAAACTCTACCATGGTATTCTTAGATTTAAAATTGTTTCAGTGCTTCACTGGTTCTTATCCATTGATGAAGTGTTTAAGAATTCAGGTGCATGGTAAATAATAAGATATTTTGTATCCAGGATTCAAATTGTGTATTGGGGTGCTGAATGTGATTGCTGTTTAATTTTGAAATTTGAATTTAGCTGACCTTAAGGGAATATGCCTTGATCTAGTATATGTTCCCCATTAGGTTTTTTATTTGTGTAATATGTATTGTTGATATTAAACATAGCCTGAAGGATGCTAGAATTTTTTGTCAATTGGGTGGTCCTGAATGGAAGCATTGAATGTGAGATTATATATTGTTGACTTTCTTGGTTCTTTTCCGAACCAGCATCGGGATTCTTATTTTCATGCTTGGCCTGTCATTTCTTCATTCTTCCTTGATATACTTGTTCATGTGTTTATAGGAAAAGGGTGTATGTTGAAAGTGTGTGTGGATATGTATGCTAAATTGTAAGGCTTAGAGGACTTATCTATGGAGGTGATATTTTACTTAATCTACATTAAAAAGAGTAGGACAATCAATAGATTGATATTATTCTAGCAATAGTGGGAGAAGTATAAGGATTTGATTGAGGCTGCTACCTGCTAATGCTTGTCTTTCCTAGTTCGGTTGTGTTTCGTGAACAGGGAGATATTGAAATGGTTAGAACTTACTACTCGTAGATTGTTGGAAATTGGGAAATATGTTGGGATTCTGGAATCCATAAGAATCATATCTTTATGGTAGCTGTGTTTTGAAGGGGATGCATGATTAAGTTGTAAGTTTTATGGCCCTGAATTTAATGTTATTTTAGTATGCCATTATTAGTTTATTATATCATAGAAGATTTAAATACCAAGGTATGCTGCAATAATAGAATAGATAAATGAGAGATGCTTACTATTAGGATATCATTGCAACAGGATTACAGGATACATCATTGGGGTATGAGGGAACCAAGCATTAGATTCCAGGGAGATTTATACAATTTTCTCAAATCATTCCATCACCTGTTGCATGCGAAGAAAATACTGCTGACTTATTTTCCAGTTGATTTTGTTATATTTAGCTCCCTCTTTTGGTTCATGACCTGCCTAGCTTCAATGTTGATTCTATTTTGATTCTTTTCATTTTTTAGTCAGTAACTCGTGACTATTTGTTGTCAGCTTTCTGTAAGGAACTGCTTCATCAGAGGGTCGGTAGTTAGATACGTGCAATTGCCTCCTGAAGGGGTGGACATTGAACTATTGCATGATGCCACAAGGAGAGAAGCTCGGGGTGGTTAGTGTCATTCTTGTGTTGTATCTTCGTACGAGAATTCGGTAGTCCTCCGTATATGGATATTATCCTCGTACTACAGAACGAAACGTTTTATAGATGTTAAGGATCTGTAACTTGTACTGTCTTTTCCTTTTATTTCTTTTGGAAGCACTGTCTAGTTTTACTGCGACAAATGATATTGGGGTACCTGCATTGCTTTTTCCTACTCCTAGTGCTTATTTGTTCAAAGAAATGTCACAGAGTATAATGCATAAATATTTACACTACGGAGTATGTCAAATATCGAAAATGACGATTCACACATTTACTTCAGAAAATTACCATATCTACCCTAGTGCATTGCATTGTAAGGAGCCTTAGTTAATTAGGGCCTGTTTGGTGTGTAAAATAAGGGTATATAGGATAGGGTAGCATATCGCATTTGCTCTTAAAAGTGTTGGTTGAGTTATAATGATTGTTTTAAAGATGAGATTAATTTATCTTGGTACTTATCATATCGAATTGGACTAGTATATTTGTCATCCAAAGAATATGATTGGGTTAGGAGAAAAAAAAATGATGACAATTGTTTATTTTAAAATACTTTTAATTTATTTTATTACTTTTTTCCTCTTTATTTTTATATATTTTTAAAAATATATTAAATTATTTTTATATATTTTTTATAAATTAAAAATAAATAACTTATATAGAGTAAATAAATTAAAAAATTTATTTTAGTAAATGTAAATAAAAGGTTAATTTTATCATTTTTTTGTACATTTTTGTCATATCTTTATTTCTATTAAATTTGCATAAAATATTGGATATGACAACAACTTATCGTGCACTTATCTTCTCTTGCCCTAATCTAATTTTTTTATTCTTTTCATCTGGATTCTATCATGGCCACTAAACAGGCGTTTAGTGTTTGATGCAAACTAGTTCGCCTCACATTGCATAATTGCATTTTTTTAAAAATAAACCTATAAATCAGTCTTGTAATATTATAATGTATCTATCATCTTGCAAATATTTCAGAAAAAAAAAAATCAGTGATTGTTTAATTAACTATTGGCCCATTTTAGGTTCACTTTTTGTACTAATAAGTGTATCTAGTATTACATTGTGTTGTTTTAATTTTAGATTTAATAGAATTGTTTACGTACAGTTGAATGTGACTAAAATGTGTTTCTGCATCAATTTAAAATATATATTTTTATTAAAATGTGAGTTTTGTTTAAATGTTTTGAAAATTAATTTTATAATGTTAAAGTAAATATCATCAATGTTAGTAATATATTTTTCTTTTGATATATCTGCCCTTATTAATATTAAAAATTTATGTCAATCAAATAAATAGGAACTGTAAGAGTGCGTGTTGTATTAGTAGTTTTTTTAATTGTGTTTTCAGACTCGACTAAAGCTTAAGCAATTTTGGTCAATCAATTTTTTTAGCCTTTTTTTTTTTAAAACTTTTAAGCAACTTTAGTCTTTTGTTTAAAATTTTCAAATTATTTTTTTATATAAATATTTGAAAGTTTATGATGATTTTTTACTATGAAATGATTATAAAGGTTTATAAATTTAAATTTTAATATAAATTAAATAAAATTTAAATGAGTTTATAAGATGTAAGGTTGGAATGTGAAAGGAAAAACTTTAGTTTTTTTCCTTTTATATTTGATAAAATTTGATGTTTTGGTTAGGGAGAAAATAATGGGAAAAAAATGAAAACTGGATGTTTTACTTTTTAGATTTGACAACAATAATTCTTAATATTTAGACTTTAATATTATTTTAGTTGATGAAATCACATAATTTTTTAATATAATGATCCCAATCTAGTAATTTTTAAAAAAACAAATTTAGTCAATTTTAACAAATTATTAAATAAAATTAAGTGTTTTTAAATGCTCACCTCATACTCTGAACGATATAACCTAGTTTTCAGTGCGATAACTCCCGTTTTCAACAAAAATTTTAGTAAGCTATAAATAAGATTTAACACTTAAAAAGGCAAGTGTGATGAAAAAAATGTAAGTTACAAAGCTTAATAAAATAAATAAATAAATCAAAATATTTAACTTAAAAACTTTTTTTTTAAAAAAAATCAAAACTAAGCTAAAAGATGGATTGATTGTAGATTAGACTTTTATATTTAAATTTTTTACCCTGAGCCCTAAAACTAAACAATCAATTTAAGAGAAAACAACACCATAAAAAATATTTTAGAAGAAAAAAGGACAAAAAAGTTGATTTTAATTTGTTTGTAAATAATATTTAATTTATTAATCATAATAGCAAATTGAGAAATTTAGGACCGGTTTGAGTTCAAGAAACATTTTTCTATTTTTATTTTCTATTTGTATTTTCTGAAAATAGTTTTTATTTTTAAATGTTCAATATTTAAAAAATGTGTTTGATTTGACTTTCTATTTTCTATTTCAAAATTAAAAAAATATTGAAAATGCATTTGGTTTAACTATTTTTATAATCAATTTATTTATTTTTTATATAAAGTTTTAAATTAATCATTATTGTTTTATTAATAAATAATTTCCATGATAAAAAATTTTGTAATACATATTTTTCTTAGTGTCAATTTTATTGCACTATTTATTTAACAAGTTTAAATACTATCATTATTACATCTTAAGACTCAAAAATAATAAAAATATAATATAAATATAATTTAGACCATGTGTGATGCACAAGTTTTTTTTTTAATATGAATTCATTAATCTTGTATATATTCATTAATTTTAATAAAAATTAATATATATATATATATATATATTTTATTTTGTTTAATTACGAGTATTCTAATAATGTTTATATGTATTCGTATGTTTCAAAAATTATTATTAAATATAAACATATAAATCTTTTAAAATAGCATTTACAAATGTAATAATAAAAAATAAAAAATGTTAAATATGAATTTTTTTAAAATTTATTTATTAATTTGTATAAATAAAATACATAAAATTATAAATGGTATAATATATATACGTTTTAATATTTTAAAAATAAAAAATAACATACATAGTATAAAAAATAATTAAATATGAGAAGCAACAAGTGAATGATGTAAGTGAATATGTAACATTTTAAATTATATTCATATCACTGTAATACACCAAAATAGAGATTAAAAAAGTAAGAGTAAATCCATAACATTGCAACGCAATAAGATGAAAGATTAAGAAAATAATAAAAAATCATAATTTATATGTCTCTATTTTAATATATAATATAGATTATAATCATTAGTTTAAGATTTAGGATTTAATTATAAAAAAAAAACTTTATTTATTCATAAATTACATCTATAAAAGTTTTTATGTTTTGGATTTTCCATTCTATAACTTCTATCTTCTTATTTTTTTTCTCTCATTTTATGTTAATAACTTTATATCAAGTAAGCATATATAATTAAAAATTATTATTAATTGATTTTAAAATAAATGTGCTAAATAAATAAATAACTTATAAGTAAAGTGATAATTTATTATTAAAACAATATGTTTTAATTTTTTTTAAATAAAATTTTATTAATATTAAAAATAATTTTTTTAAAATGTTTATTAAACAACGCATTTTATATATAGATCAATCAACATAATTACTATTTTTATTAGACTCATATGTAGTGGATGATATTCATATTATACAAAAAATGAATGCTTATTCAATGTAAAGAATGACATCAAAATTATATAAAACTGAAAAACTCATATACAGGTATATAGAAAATAATAATGCTTATCAAATATTTAATGATAAAAATTATATAAAAACTTTGTCAATGTATTACAACGTAAAATGAAAAAAAAATCACACGCAAAAAGAAAAAAAAAAAAAGAGATCAAAGAGCATAAGAAAATAATAAAAAGAAATAAGAGAAAGAATTACTTATAACAAGTAGTCCATGAGCGAAAAAACAATAATTGATAACATTTATAATGATATTGTATTTTTATTATTCTATTTTTTATTAAGTGTTCTCATTTTTAAAGAAGAGAATTGAAAACAAGATTATTTTTTTAAATTGAGCTGAATTTTGAAAATATTTTTTAAAAATCAATCAAACAATTTTATTTTTTTTATTTTCATTGAGCAAACCAAACAATGCCTTAATTTCAAGTTTAAAACTATTAGGTAAAAGTGTAAATTTTATACAATTTTTTAATTTAACTTTTAAAAAAATTATTTTTCCTTCCCACCTTTTTTTAAAGTAAAATGTATTTGATCTTAATATTATAAATGAGACTTATTTTGAGAAGTAAAATATTATTAAATCTACTCTTCTTCGTAGTTTCTTAAATGAATATTTTTTAAGTTACAATTAACTGAAAATGAGATATGAATTACATTACGTGAAACTAGCCTCGAACTTAAAGAGCGAGCAAGCCGACAAGTTGAAGCCGCGGTCCAATCCAGCATATTCTTTTTTTTATTATTATTTATATGAATTACACTTTATCTTGTTGTAATAATTTTAGTTTATTTTAAATATTTATTAATTTCATTATAAATTTTAAAGATCATAATTGTTACTTAACTTCCCGTTATTAACTTATATATTTTTTTGTGAATATCTATCTTATATTTATAAAAATTATTTTTCTATTTTTTAATTTGATTTGAAATTTACTTTTAAGAGTCTCATATCTTATGGTTTTATATATATATATATATATATATATATATATATATATATCATTGTTGATATTTAATTCATTTTTTAAATATTATATTAAATTATTATTATTTTGTTATATATAATTCATAGTTTTATAATAAAATCAAAATAATTTTTTAAAATTTGATTATTTTAATTATAAAATAAATTTATTATAAAATAAAACAATTATACATTGCACGTAGTAAACTAGTTACATACAAATTACTGGCGACTTTGTAATTTTTGTCTCATTTTTGTGTAGAGATGTGTTTTAATTTATAATGTTTATAAAAATACAGAAATAATATTTTATGTTATTCATATTAATTTTTGTGTAATAAATAGCATTAGTCTAATAATAATCATGCCTAAAACATGAGTCATAACTGTTGTCATTTTAATCAATATTTCAATTTTTATTAACATTAAATGTAATAAAATATTTATAAATCTTCATTAAAATACTAAAAAAATCCTTGTTAAAATATACTCATGTCCATTTTAAAATTTTTTGAAAATAAATGCTTTGAAATCCATACTTTTATATTTTGATTTTTTATTATCATTAAAATATTTTTCTATGCATTAAAGTGTTTTTCCAATATTGTTTTAAAATTTTTACATTTTTTACAAAAATATTAGTATAATATATAAAATATTTATTATTTTTAAATAGTATTATTTTAATAATAAATATTAATTCTATAAATTAATGTAATACACAAAAACATACTAATTATATTATCATAATTGTATGAATAATAATACTTAGACACTAAATATAATAATGTAAACAATTTGGGCAGTCTGATAAATAACAACTCCATGGACGATAAAGAGTAGAATAATATTAGTAACACTGTTTAACAATTATAAGCTAAAATTTATAAAAAATATATATATAAAAATATTAATTTAAGAGTGAGAATATTTATAGCTTTTAATTTTTTTTCTAATAATAAAAAGAGTATTGTATAATATGTGTTAAAAAATGCTAGAGTATGCACTGAAAATATAAAAAATTGCATAATTTTTTAATTTCTGAAAATATTTTTATTTTTGTAAACATAATTGCATATTTCTTGTTTTCAAAATGAAAGAGTTTCTAAAAAAAATAATATTCCTTTTACCTCAAAATATTATTTTTTTAGTTCAAACGAAAATTTTTCCTTCAAGCGAGAATTGATAAGATTTTTTCAATTATATTCTTGCTCAAGTGAGAAATATGTCACTCAAGCGATAATTTGTGGCGAAAATAGGTAGTTTCTTGCCATATTTTTACTCAAACAAAAATATTTTCGTTCAAGCAAAAATATTAGTAAAAAAGTAATTTTTATCTAGTTTTCTCGCTCAAGCGAAAACTTGTGAGTTTTAAAAGATATTTAAGGAATTTTCACTCCAAAATTTATATTGTAATCCAAGAAATCTCTCACTCACTTCTTTCTTTATTCTTCTACTTTTTTTCTCAGAGAAACTCTTCTCAAACTTTAAACTACTTATGAATTCTGAACCTGAATTTCCTTTCCACTTAATCTTGAGTAAATTCTCTGGAGCTCAACTCTTCAATCTCATTTTTATATTTTCTTGTTTCCTCTTTTCTCAAAAGTACTCTATTTCATAATGTATAGGAAGAACTTAGTTTTTGAACAATAGCTCCTTCAAAACATTGTACTTCCCTCTAAATCCTGAGTAGATCTTGGTCTTAGAAACAATAGTTGTCATCCCTTTAGTTGTGAGAGACCCATTTCGTAAAGGAAGTTGATCCCAAACTTTAAGTCTCAATTATGCATCTTGGCTTAGAAAACTCAAACTACTTCATTTTAAATAGCAAAGCTATAAAGTTTTCTTGAAGTCATATGGTTAAAAATGTATTTTTGAATATGGAAAACCTATGATATGGTTCAAGAATAAGTTATTAAGAATATTGTCATAAAAGTATTATTCGATATGTATATATGCATGCGTGTTTGAAAAAAGGCTAAACTTTATGATAGATGATTTTTATAAAGATCGAGAGTGTGTGATCTCTGGCAATACATTTTTAAACTGTACAATTAGGTTGAGTTCAAAGGTGTCTAACCTTTGGCATATAGTATTGGTTTGTATAACGTGGAATTGATTGCATATGATAGAAAATTTTAAAAAGACTATTGGTGTGTGTAATTATGTACTCTTTTTTTTTGTGTGGAAATACGAGTTAAGATTATGATTGTTTATTTAAAGTAATAAATAAAGTGAAATATGTTTTATTGAAAACATGCGATTGGAACTGAGTCTTGGGATGTTCAACCTTTAACAAATTGATTGATGATTTAATTTTATTTGAAAGACCGTGGTGAAATTGTATTATGATGAGAAAGAAAAAGAGTGAAAATTGTACTATCATGAGAAAAGTGATTAAAAGAAATGAAGGTGAATATTTAAGAATCACTGAGAAAATGTGTGTCATGAAAAACTGACTAAATATATATTGATAATTATAGAGATACATTGGGAGTATAAAATATGAAGATGATTTGAGAAATTTGAGAAAAATGTACGGTAGTGAATGACGTTTGCTTATGGGTGCACCATCTAATTAGTGCAAATGCATTACATGGCCTCACACTTATTTCTTGACAATACTTCTTACTATTTTTTTTATTAAGGGACCCTCTATTGTATACATTGTATCTGTGTTTAAGGGCTAATCAACAACTATCTATAGTTATAGAAGACCTCAAAAGACCTAGGGGCAATGATTGTAAAATTATGAGATGTGTGATCATAATATGTGAGTTATAACAAATTAATTGGTGTGATTATAATACAGGTATTATATTACATCGACGAGTGTACATGTATCATAATGCATTAATTAATATAAGTATAACACATTAACACATGTATTATGATATGCTGATCTATGTAAAAATATATGAAATGACATGGTCTTAGTGCATATGCTAAAATATTAATGATATGATGTTTGATCTGCTGTAAATTCCTTAATATAATATATGAGTTAGTATTGTTTTGGTGTATATTGTATTTAATAATGTTTCTATAATAAAGAATTTAATGGGGTGAATGATACTCACCCTTACAAATTATTTTTCAGGAAGTGAAGTTGATTCAGTTTCGAATCATATTTTCAGTGAGATTATAAAGAAGAATTGCTCTATTAGAATTTAAATTCATTTCGAATATTGTAATAATTTTGATTATGTTTTTATTTAAAGTTTATAAGGATATATAATCAATTTCATATTATTTATTCTAAATGTATAATAGTTTGATAAGTTTTATTATAATTAATTATTTGAAGTGTATATGTAATATTTGATAGTTAGTCGTTTTAATTGTAGATTGTAGTTTACATTCAATTTTGAATATAAATTTATTCTACTAAAAGATAATGTTGTCTATGTTTTAAACTTATACATATGTGATATAAAGTAAATAAATTATCAAGAAGCAAATTTTAATTTTTACCATATTTATAAATTTAAAATTTTAAAACTATTTCTTGTGATATTTTTGAATACCCTTGAGTTTTTTATAAACTGAATAAAATAAAATATAAGTTTGACTTTTTTTTAAAAATCTTTAAGCTATAAATATAAAAAAATACTTTATTTTCATTCTTTTTACATTTTTAATTATAAATTTATTATCTTATTTTTATTTTATTTTTAAATATTTAAATAATATTGAATTATTTTTCTATTTTTTATAAATATTTTAAAATAAAGTGTCAATTTATAAATAAAAACAATAATATAAGTTAATTTATAGCCTTAAGCAGCCTAGTAATTTTCAAAAAAGTGTTAAACAAACATGAAATACATGTAATAATAAAATTAAAGTATAAAATGTTATTTTTAATGAGAAAACAGTATTAAAATGTCTTTTTATAATTTTTAGTATAATCATACTGTGATTTTAATAAAATATTTATTTACTAATTACTTAATAATGACTAAAGGTTATTTATTAGCAAAATTTAACATTATTTTGTAAAAGTCCTCGGTATGCTTACCATATTTATAAATCATTTAATATTTAATAACTTATAATAAGATTATTTTTTAAATAATCTGTTCAAACTGTACAACACTGCACAAGGTAAGAGTTATATATTGTAATTAATTTTTTAAAATTAAAATTTTTAATGTAATTCAATAAGTTAATACTATTAAATTACATAATTTTTAACAAAATCTATTTTATATTTATTTATTTAGTACAATATTAAATAGGTTAAAAGAATGTTTTTAATTTTTTTAAATGGAAAAATACTGAAATGCTAACTATTTTGATATGTAATATTTAATGATAAAATTTTAGCATGTATAAATTAGTGACACTCCATAAGAAAAACAAATTGATATAACTAGTTAAATTTTGTGTGAATTTGATTTTAATGATTTAACTTGTTTGATTATATTAAATTACAGTATAACATCAAAATTATATTGGAAAAAGAGGCAGGAAGGTTTTACTTTCATAAAAAAAATTAAATTAATTTGAAAATATTAAATATATTTTTAGGATTTAAAGATATAATATTTTTAAATGAGTTTTTGTTTAAAATTTATTTGTTTTGAGTCTAAAATTTTTATAAAAAACATGTATGTTAAAGAATGATTATTAACTGATATCTTTTGAGTTATAAAAATGATAAATTTCTAATGAATATTAACAATTCTTATATTTAATTATTAATTTATAAAAGATATTTTTAGATCTTCGAAAAAATGAATATTCAATTTAATGTTAAGAAATATATTTAGTAAGCACAAAATAAACTATTTCTCCATATCTATATTAAAAAACAGTAATAAGAGATATTTTATGTTAAAAATAAAATAAAAAATCTTTGATTGAAATTAAATTCAGTATTAATCCCAATTATTTATTATTTTTAAAATAAAAAATTTATTTCAACAATAATATCACTGCATATGCTTATTCGAAGTTTCATATAATTACTTATATTTAATGCGAATAAAAAAAAAACGGTTTCATTAGAAAAAAAAAAATAAAAAATTCAGTCCAAAATCCAGAGAGACGAACAAGAATATGAGAGGAGATATGATAGAACTTGAAGGATGAGTAAGTGAAGGGAGGGGAGTGAGGGAGAGGAGAGGCCAAAACCAAACACACAACTTTTGTCATTTATAAATATAGGGGCGAACCATCCCATGCATTCCTTCTGCTCTCACTTTCTCATTTCCTCCTTAAATTATCTTTTTCTTTGCAATTTTCTTTTGATTTGCTGTTAATGGCAGTTCCCGCGCAAACCAGGGATGTTGATGCGTGGGAAACCGTCCTACGCCAAACCAAAGTAGCTCTCCAGAGCAACACCGATCCTCACCGATGGGCCTTTGAGGTCACAAAGACGCTCAGCTCCTTTGCCGTTTCACTTCCTTCGGCTGAACTCGCTCACCATTTGGTCTCTCACTTTTTTTGGGACAACCACTGCCCTGCCGCATGGAAGTTTCTAGACATTGCCATGTCGCTTGACATGCTCCCTCCCTTACTCGTCATCGCTCTTCTCTCCACTAGGTATCGTCCTTCTTCTACTAACTTAATATACTTTTGTTCTTTTCTGGTTTTCATTTTCTCTTTTTCATTGTCTTTGAATAAAGTCTCCTGCTATGTTACGCATTTCGAATTAGGTTTTATTTTCTTTTTTCAGCTTGTGTTTATTGAATGTGCGTTTTCCCGTTGTGTGCTTACAGCGTTTGCATTTGATGATATGGAAGTGCATTATTAATGAATCAATTCGGCTCCTTATTGTGCCGTGGTATCGTATGTGTCTTTCGTCGGCCATTATTGGAATAGGATTTTGGTGTGGTAGATTGTTTGGTTTCGCATTAGAATACATATGGATCTAAGTTTACTTCAATGCTAACAGTAATAGGTTTGAATATTCTGTGCAATGCAGCTATCTTCTGTAGCCTCTATTTTTTTATGGATGCTTTGCCTGATACCTATATCATTTTACTGATTTGCTTCTTTTTCTTCACTGATTAACTTTAATTCACTGTATTTTTATATGGCTGCAGGGTTGTTCCAAGCAGACAACTCCACGTTACGGCTTACAGACTTTATATGCAACTCCTGAAGCAATATGGTTTTATGCTTGGATCTTGTATAAACTCTAAGAACTATGAAAAGTGAGGTTCAACTCGCACTGATTTGTTGTACATGAATAATTTATCTGTATTAGCTTCTGAATATGTTTAATATCTTGGGTATACTCTTGAATATTTTCATATATTGCATGATCTATGTAGTATGTGAAAACACTATTTCATCTTTTGTATGGTTCTTGTTAGTATGTATTTGGTTTAAGCTAATATGCATGGAAATTTTATTTAATATTGAGGTTCAACCTCAAAATGAGAACAATGTAGGTTGGAATGGAACATGAACTATATCGTTGCACGGTTGCACAAATAACTATGATATCATACAATAGAGCTGTTCAATTTTAAGCAAACAAATACCATTTGTTCCAGCCAAAGCTAAATATGGTCAGTGATGTTGTTTTCAGTCTTCATGTCTTGGTAAATTCTATAACTGTAAAATTTGTGTTGTTAAGAGGTTGGTGTATACGTGTTACTGTTTAATTTCCATCTGGAATGCTAATAATTAAACATAAAAGTCTAACATTTAAAATATTAAAGAGCACTAGAATATTTTAAATGTTGTTTATAATATTCATGTCTTGGTTAATGCTGTAGTTTTAAAAATCTCATTTCTAATGTTGTTTGAAGGTTCTTGTATATTGTGTTATGGTCTGTTGTACATGCTAAGGTTGTTATGAAAATAGTTAAGCAACCTGATGAGTACAGAAACATTTAAAATTTCATGTAAAGGAATTGGGATGTATGGATGAAAAATCCCCTTTGTAATGAGTCATGTTTGAATGATATTGGCATAACTAGAAGAAAGCATCTACTATTCAGTTATCTATTTTGAAGATAATATTTGTACTCAATGACTATGCATAGGTCCTGATCATTTGCAATCCCACAAAGGAAATTGTTTCTTTGTTATGAGTATCTTGTTTCTTTATAGTGCTAAAGCAATCTATTTTGGTAAAAGAAATGAAGTATATCTTGCCAACTTTTTGTGGTGCTAGAAAGTTTTATTACGCTAGCTTTATGTTTGTCAACATGAAGCCATATGTTGATGTCTCAGGTTTGAAGTTTTTACATATCTGTTCCTCAAAGGCTGAATGCTGCTCACCTTGTGAATGGAATAAGATTTTAGAGCTTGATAAATTTATATTGAAAATGGATGTTTGGGAAATATCTCAAGGATGTATATATGTGAAGAAAAGATTGCATCCACTGCTTTGGTTTGCAAAAGTAGATTTGACTTTTCTTCAGATTTCAGTGTTATATCCTAAGACAACATTTCGTCATTTTCTGTTAGATACTTATGTTATTATCTTTTACTACAGACTAATTAACTAGTTGACCTTTACTTGTTTCAGTGCTTGTGGCGACCTAAGATAATTATATCTAAAGGAACATCTAATCATAAATGAAAGATAAATCTGCTTAAGTGATTTCTTTCTATGTTCTAGTTTCTCTGTCTCTCTTTTAGGGGACGGAATAGTTTCCTTGTGTATTTTTGAATGCTAATAATGACATTTAACACCAATGGTATCTCAGGTTTATGAAATCAATTGATGAAGTTCTTCAGCTTTCTCAAGTATACAGCCAAAAGGTGTCTGAGCCAGGAGTTGTTCTGGTTGAATTTGTCTTCTCAATTGTATGGCAGTTGCTTGAAGCATCATTAGATGATGAAGGGTTACTAGATCATACTTCAGAGAATAACCCAAGATGGCTAAGCAGATCACATGATATGAATATTGATGAACCTGACAGCTTTAGTGAAAAGAAAACTGAGCAGGAGGGGCTGCAAAAGGCAAATACAGTGGTGGCTATAGAGATCATTGCAGAATTTTTGCAGCACAAAATAACTTCAAGAATCCTTTCCTTAGTTCATCGGAACATGTAAGAACTTAATTCTTATATACTTTACATTTGGTAAACTGTCTAAAATACTCAATCTCAACTGAGATTTTGGAATCTTCATTGACGGAAAGTTATCTCTGTAGGTCATCGCAATGGGGATCTTTCGTTCACCAAATTCAGCTTCTTGCATCAAACTCTTCAGTTTTGAGGAATTTGAAACATATTACTGCAGAGACCCTGTTGCTTTTGACGGAAAATATCCATGAGGTTGTGTCTCAAGAGTACAACACAATATTTAAGCTGGAGTCTAATGTACTCAGGCCTGTTGGTTCTCAGAAATATTTTGATGTTCAATCTTTTGGTGATAGTTGGTCTTTGCTCTGGCTTCCTATTGATCTTATCCTGGAAGATGCTTTGGATGGAGGCCAAGTGGCAGCATTTAGTGCTATTGAAATTGTTACTGGTATGATTGATTTTTTTAAGTCATAAAGTTGGGGAACATTCCTCTGCAAATAAGAAATGTTGTACGGTTGTACCACACTTGGCCTTTGTTCTACTTGACATCTTTCACATACAAATCTTCTCTTGACCAAGTATTTTACTTATTGGTTCCAACATGCATGTTCAACCTGATTTGTCATCCTTTTTATATTCTTAGCCACACAAACTTGAAGAAAATGTGCTCAAGTCTTATCACCTCATTTGTATATTCTTTAACTTATTTTCTTTATTTCCTATCTTCACTATGGAAAAAAAAAAATAAATTCATACTAATTCTTCTTCAATAAGATATGATTTTTTAACTTCCACGAGTAAAATCCCTTTTTAATGTCTAAATTTAAGAAATCCTTACCATTACCAGCAATGATTCCAGCTTTAAGAATTAGGGCAACTGGAATGGGTACAATTTCTAGTCCTATTGTAACACTGATTACTCAATACTATTCCCATTCAAAAGATTCTACTTAGATTATTTTTCTGCATCAGTATTCTGACATTTCCAAACTTACTGCATCATCATTTTCTATTTTTATTTCTTCTATTCTTCTGGAGATACTGTCAAATGGGTGTTAAGGAGAGAGTTGGTAGACTGTGAATTGTGAAATAGTTTGAACAGTACTTGTCCTTTTGTAAGGATTTTAGAATTAAGACTTGCTTTTGCACTCAGGCACTCAGAAGAAATGGCCTGGACATTAACAACTCTGAATTCATTCTGCTCTAGCCTTTCTTTTCTTCCATTTTTGGCTTCATTATTGTTTTGGTTCCTAATCCTGTTTCTATATGCACAGATATTTTGAGTTTTTCCAGGATTAATTTTGGGTCTTTCTTTTAGACATTAATATGATCCATATCGTTAATATATCTTCATTATGGTTTTATATACACAAAATAAAATTAATGTACAAAGCTTACTAAGCCTTCTGATTCAAGTCAAAGGGAGAGTAGAAACTAGAATCTGATATTCCCATGCCAAATACATTGACAATTCACAGGGAGTTGAATTGAATACTTAATTTGAAAGGATGACTTGTGTTTTTTTTTTTTTTCAAGTCAGGATTCTTTATTGAATTTGTTCTTGCAGGTTTGGTGAAGACTTTACATGGAGTTAATGGCACTGTGTGGCACAATACATTTTTGGGTTTATGGGTTGCAGCACTGCGGTTAGTTCAAAGGGTAGGAATTGTTCCCAAAAAAGGTGTAGGGGAGCTAATGATCTTCTGGATAATTGCTTGACGAATTTATTCCTGTGTATATCACCAAGGAAAGACATGATGCATGTCATTTACCTTTTATTTTGTGTGCACTAGCGCATGGCAGTTTTACTATTAATTGATTAACTTTTTTATAAAAAAAAATATAGTGACACTGGAAAATTGCATGCAATTAAACTCTCCATATTCCTCACTTATGTTATACTTATTCCCTTTATTTTAGGAGAGGGATTCAAAAGGTCCTATAGCTCGCCTTGATACTTGCATGTGTATGTTATTAAGCATTACAACCCTCGTGGTTGCTCATATTATTGAAGAAGAGGAAGGTGAACTGATTGAAGAAGCTGAACATAGCCCAACAAATCAAAGCAAAGATAAAAAGGTTCTAAAGAAGTGTTGTGGGGAATTGATTACCAGCTTACAACTATTGGGTGATTATGAGTCCTTACTGATTCCACCTCAACCTGTTCTTATGGAAGCCAACCAAGCTGCTGCCAAGGCTATTATGTTCTTATCCAGAACCTCTGATGGTAGTGGATACTTTGATATGAGCATGAATAAGTTGCCCACGAAATGTTGTGAGTGATCTCTTTTATTGTAGTAATATGAAACTGTGAAGATTTCATTTTGGCTACAGAATCTGTACTTATAAATTATAATGATATGTATCCTTTTATTGGTATGTGCTACTGATAACTGAGGCAGACCTAGGATTAAACTACTGGAATGGACCAAAGCAAAAAATAATCCAAGGGATCTATGGAAAGTGAGAAACTGTTTACATTTTACAATTATGTGCAGGTCTTAAATTCTGTGAATTTCCCCTCCTTGCCTACCCCAAACAGAAAACTTAAGTTTCCCTGTGCACAAACAGTCAACATTTGCTTATTTTTATTCACTTCTCTCTCCCTCGTCATAATTTTAGTTGCGATAATTTTATTAGTTGGCAACCTTGGCACTGTGGTGCTTAATCATATTTTCATTGTCACGCAATGCTCTTTTTGCCTCTGTTATTTGCTTTGTTATAAGTTTACTGTGTAACAGTGTTCATATATTTGTTCTGGGTCCCTATCTTTTCTTTTTTGGTTTTGGTGTTTTTTTTTAACATGCTTTTTCCTGGCAGCTGGCAACTTACGGCATCTAATTGTTGAGGCTTGTATTGCGAAAAACCTACTTGATACATCAGCTTATTTTTGGCCTGGCTATGTGAATGCATGCAGCAATCAAATTCCTGATAGCATTTCTGATCACATGAATGGGTGGTCTTCATTGATGGAGGGATCACAGCTAACTCCTGGATTGGTTAATGTTTTAGTAGCAACTCCGGCTTCCAGGTATGCTAATGACTCGTATCATTTTTAGTTCATACACTCTGTCCATTTTACTGGCCTCTTGAAATTGATTTCTGAGGGGCAAGATTTGGGAAGATGGTTGATTCAGGCAAATTAGAAGAAGAGATTTTTCAGTTATAGAATTTTTATCTTTCTTGAATGCTGTTCTTGACAAAGCAGTAGTGACCTACAATATCATCTCGTCTAGACTTTTTTTGTCATGCTTCTGTATTTTATATTTTTGGGGGCAAGTTCTTATTTTCCATCAACATTACTTGACCCCTGGTTATCTTTTCACCTGGAGTTGTTTGTCTACTACTTCTTTGTAAAGTTAATATATGTCTTTGAATCATTGAATTTGCGTCCATTTATTCCGTAAACAACTTCATGCAAAGTCTTGGTTTCTAATATTCATGCTACTGATGTAGAACACTGTTCTTTATGATCCACATGTTTTATCTCTAGATAATGTCAAGACAAATGATAGTTTTTTTCAGAATGGTTCACCTACTTCATTTGTGTGAGCCAACAGCATGTGGTTTTGCACATTTTAGAATGCATTGCTGAATATTATGTTTGATATTTTATGTCATTGGTAGTAATATTTATTTGCAGTTCCGAATAGTTGCCTACTATGTATTGCATCATCTTCTTTGCAATTCAAAATGGCATAAGCAGAGATGTGTGCAATCTTTGTCATTTTTTTTCGGGGTGGGGTTAGATATGTGCAATCTTATCTGCATGAGCAGAGATGCTTTTTTCTGTGACTATAATCTGTTATCACCTGGTCACAGAGCAACAACCTCTTACTGATACACTAATCCTCTCCATCACCATTTTTTCAATTGTTTTAAAAATATCTACACAATACTTACATAAGAAATGTAATCGTCCTTAAATCAATCCTCTCTTCGCTATATTTTGTCACTAATAATCATGCACTCATTGGCAAGAATATAAATGTATTTTGTGCTTTTAATGTAAATTAAATGTGGCTACTATAGTAATATGTAAACGAATAATTAAAATATAATCTATAAAAATATCAGTGTGGTATGTATTACATTATATAATATATATGGAAATAACATATATATACTATAGAAATAAATACACACATACGTGTGCACACACTACGAAGCAAGTATATTATATGCCTTACTTTTTAAAAAAACTTATGAGGTAAGGCACTGAGTTGAAGTTCATGGGTTTAATGGAAGCTTAGCAGAGATTGAGAAAATATATGAAATTGCAATCAATGGTTCAGAAGAAGAAAGGATATCTGCTGCTACCATTCTGTGTGGGACATCTCTAGTACGTGGATGGAATGTACAGGTAATCCTAGTTTAGCTTGTTTGCCTGTTTGATGTATCTTCTGATTGTTCTTTTGTTTGTCTGTTATTTTATTTTAGATTTACATTATTATCTTTGTTTGCAGGAGCACACCATTCTTTTCATCACAAAATTGCTCTCACCTCCAGTTTCTCCTAATTACTCCGAGACTGAAAGCCATTTGATCAGCCAAGCTCCATTTTTAAATGCTCTCCTTATCGGAATTTCATCTGTAGACTGTATTCATATATTCTCCTTACATGGTTTGGTATGTCATTTTAATAATCCTTGTATTCTGACTCATAATTGTCAACTCCTTTTGCTTTTTTAAGTGAAGTTTTTTTAAGTGTTTGTTTCATAGTCAAGAAGGGTTCTATCATCAATTTTCTTAGTTTAATATGTTGTGGTTTTTCCATTTACTTTCAGGTTCCATTACTTGCGGCAGGGCTAATGTTGATATGTGAGGTTTTTGGATCATGTGTTCCACATGCCTCATGTACTCTTGCAACTGGAGAAAAACTCTCTCATTGGGAGGTATTCTCTAATGCATTTACTCTTTTGCTGAGGTTCTGGCAATTTGATCATCTACCTGTTGAAGAAGTGAGGAATGATGCAACAACTCCTCCATTTGGATCACTACTTAGTCCTGAATGCCTTTTATTAATTCGAAACTGTATAATGGCATCATTTGGAAGAACAAAGGATCGACAAAGGCTCCAAAGATGGTCAAAAATTTTACATTTTCCTGAAGAATCAGTATTTATGGATTCCTTTCCAAAATTAAACTTTTGGTATCGGAAACATCAAGAATGCATTGCTTCAAACCACACTGGTCTTGTGCCTGAAGGGCCTGTTCATCAGATTGTTGATGCTCTTTTAGGGATGATGTTTAGGAAGGTAAATAATGGCACTGAACCTTTGACACCAACGACTTCACAAAGCAACAGTTCATCTGCGTCTGCATTGGATGATGCTTCGATGAAACTAAAAGTGCCTGCCTGGGATATCCTTGAAGCTATTCCCTTTGTGCTGGATGCTGCTCTGACGGCCTGTGCTTATGGAAGACTCTCTACCCGTGAACTGGCCACAGGTTTTCCTTGTTCTCTATTTGCCTACCCAATTTTTAACTTTTGAATGTCATATTGAGTCAGGATTATTACAAAGGATTGATGCTTTGAATGTAAGAATGTCAGAATGTCTAGTGACTGAAGATGTCTAGAATGAATATGACACTAGACTCCTGGAATAACTTGTTATACAAAAAAGACTGAATATAAATATAAAGCTCCAATTTGATTAAGAGATCAAAAAGCGTTTGGAATGGTTTTTCACAAGGAGAAAATACTAGAAAATACTATTTTCAGAACTTAAAACAAAAGATTTATTCAATTGGATCATCATGAAATTTATTTTTAAAATATAAATCACCATATTACTCTAATAAGTAATATCTTTCTTTTTTATAGATAAAAAGAATGTATTCATTAGATTAAATATCCAAGCTTGTTGAGTACAAATTTAAGGTAGATTAAAATTTCAATTAAATAAATAAATTTAAGGATGCTACACACATGATAGCAGTGCAGCAACCATTTGAAAATGGTGTATTATCAAATGGGTATCATGAAAATATTATGTCCTGTTAAAGTCGAATCAATATCTTATAGTTATTACACCATCTCCAGTTCTTGATAACCCTATTCCAGGACTAGACTACAGTAATTTTAGGAATTAGGATTTCAGTAACGTTAACAGGATCTATGAACCACGATAAATATTGGTATTTGTATCTCCTAATGAATCTACGCAACTGCAGTAACAGCCATATTGGCAACATTGGTCCGTAATTTTATGGAATAATAAAGTAGGTGTTCTGCACATTTGAATCTGTTAATCTTCATGGAGCAAAAGACCAAAATATTACTTGACCTAGATCCACCAACTTTTATAAAAATCTGCATTTCCTTAATAAACCCGCGCTGCTTCTTTCAGGTGGCATAGAATAGTATTTTTCAACTATATATATCATGATACTGAAATCACATATTTCCCAAATTTAAACTGGGCTGCTAATGCTGATTTTTTTTTTCAAATCTTTTTTTTTGGGATGATTGCTGTGTAATTTGATTTCCATGTGCTTTTTATCTCAGGCCTCAAAGATCTAGCCGATTTTCTTCCTGCATCTTTAGTTTCCATTGCGAGCTACTTTTCATCTGAAGTTACACGGGGCATATGGAAGCCAGCTAATATGAATGGAACCGACTGGCCTAGCCCTGCTGCAAATTTATCCCTAGTTGAGCAACAGATAAAGAAAATGTTAGCTGCCACTGGTGTTGATGTCCCAAGCCTTGCTGTAGGTAATTGATCTTAGTTTCTACTCTCAATATTTTTTTTAAGCATTAAGAAGATTTCTAATGAGTATCCTTAAAGCACTAGTTAAAGAATTCATTTAATACTTATTTTGCTTAGCAAGAATCCTACTAATCAATTAATAAATAAAAAAATTATTAGAAATCACATTAGGGTTGTGTTAGAAATTAGTTGAAGAGTGCATTGTTACACTTTCCAATAAAGAAAATCACTTTTAATTTCATAATCAATGTCCTAACACTTTCTTTTAAGTAATTGGAAACGTTTAATATATATTATATTTAATAATTGTTCAATGGATACTCATCAGCTAAACCTGAACATTAACTATTTGCAAGATCCTTAATAAAATGACGTGATTACGAAGAGTAGTACCCAAAAAAAGACTAGCAATATCCATTCATATAAGCATTTATTTTGATGGAAAACAGATTGATCTTTTATTTTAAGATATTGTTGACGAGGACCTTTAGTACCTTTTAATATATCTACTAAATACTTTTAGTTTCTTACTAACCATTATCCTAAGCTCATTGGTAAAAAAATCAATAAATAATTTTTATTCAAATTTGTGTTGAAACACCTGTCATACTCTTATTTACTTAAAAATGTAAATACTAGATTTTTTTTTTCACATTTTTCATATAATAACTAATTTATTTTTTGGTTAACGAGTACTGTTAAAATATGGCTTAGCATTGGTCTTAATTTTATGGTACGTGGAAAACAGAAGAATCTTTATGTTGACAATATTTTTATTTCTCTTTGAGTAGATGGGGACGCTCCGGCCACACTTCCTTTGCCTTTGGCTGCCTTTGTAAGCCTCACAATAACATATAAACTTGACAAAGCCACTGAGAGATTCATTGTCCTGATTGCGCCTGCATTGAGAGCCCTTGCTTCTAGTTGCCCCTGGCCGTGCATGCCCATTGTAACTTCTTTGTGGATCCAGAAGGTGAAGCGCTGGAGTAACTACTTTGTGCTCTCTGCTTGCAGAACTGTTTTCCACCACAACAGGGATGCTGTGGTTCAACTACTAAAGTGTTGCTTCACATCAACTCTTGGCCATAGTTCTAGCTGTATTTATAATAATGGTGGTGTTAGTGCCCTCCTTGGTCGCGACTTTGTTTCCCAAATATCCGATGGGATCTCACCAGTTGCTCCTGGGATTCTTTACCTAACAGTGTACCGATCCATCGGAGATATCACGTTCGTGGTTGAAGAAATTGTGTCTATTCTAATGCTTTCAGTTAGAGACATAGCAGGTAGTGATTTGCCCAAGGGGGATGTAAAGAAACTAAAGAAAACCAAATTTGGGATTAAATATGGACAAGTTTCTCTTGCCAGATCCATGGCACGTGTCAAGAATGCCGCTCTACTTGGGGCTTCATTGGTTTGGATATCAGGTGGAACAAAATTGGTTCAATATTTGATAGGAGAGACTCTGCCTTCCTGGTTTTTATCAGCTAACATGTTGGAGCAGGATGGTGGAGAATCTGGAGTTGTGGTTGCTATGCTTAGAGGTTATGCGCTGGCATTTTTTGTTATTCTTAGCACGGCATTTGCCTGGGGCATTGACAATGTACATTCACCAAAACGACGGGCAAAGATTGTTGGGTTGCATTTGGAATTTCTTACAAGTGCCCTGAACAGAGATACATTACTGCCTTGTCATGGTGCTACTTGGCAAGCCTATGTGTCAGGGTTTGTCAGTTTGATGGTTGGTTGTGCTCCGTTGTGGGTCCGGGAAGTTGATGTGGATTTGTTGAAGAGATTGAGCAGGGGATTAAGACAGCTGAATGAACACGAGTTGGCTCTTCGCCTTTTGGAAATTGGAGGAGTAGGTGTCATGGGTGCTGCAGCTGAAATGATAATTGATTCTCAACATAGAATTTAAATGTAAAACATAATAGGTCATGTTTAATTTTTATATCTATCTCTACTAATTTTTACAGAATCCTATTTATTCACATATCGAGAGAGATGGACATAAAGCTTATGCATGACCCTGTTATGTGAAGTTTTAATATGAGAAAGCAGGATGAGTCATTCTTTGTTAAGCGCTTAGGGTTTCAGTGCAAGACATGCTGGTATACTATTCTCCAATCAGTAGATTTAGGCAAAGAGTTCTTGGACCAAATATACTATAGAAAGATTGGTATATTCCGTAGGTAGTCTAGAAAAGGTCACTTATCATATCAACCAACTAGAACAAGGCAAACAAGATCTGCCTTGCAGTGAATTTGTAGATCGTCAAGATGTTGGCCCACATTTCTCAATTATAGGTTAAAAAAACAAGCAAATTATTTTCCAATTGTTACAATGGAATACATTTTTGCTCATTTCATTTCACTTCTGGTCAAATGGCTTTCATATTAGTTGTGGTGTGGCTTTTTCTGTAAGTTGTTTATCTATGGAATTTTTTTATTCGATTGTACTTTGTTTTTCTTGGATGATATAAGTAAAGAATTTATGAATGCGAATATCACGAGTCCTAAATACATGCAACTATACTGTCGTAATCGATATATCAGTCTCTTCAATCTTGTATTGTCCTAAGCACAATCGAACACTTCGTGAAGCTGAGGGTAATCTGTTAAGGATGGTATAAGCAAAGGAGGTGAATGCATTGTCGCAAGATATTTGTTCAGAACAGTGGAGTACGGAAAGATCCTGGGATATGCTGAAACTGATCTACAGTATTTCTTACCTTAAAAAAATTAATAAAACATTTTCTGAATTAAATGGATAAGGAAAGGAAAAAATCATGAAGTTTGCATTTAGAGTCACAAGCATATAATTATTCTGAATTCGATAGTTAAAAATACAACTTTTATTTTTTAAAATAAAAACGACGTACCTACCGTAGAAAAGCCTTTTGTTGATAGAAAAATATAGCGTCAAACTTGCGGAATGATAGCAGACAGACTAGGAGCAACTAAATCCTCCACTACAATGAAATTATTGAGTATTTACACAGGGCATGCATTCTCACCAATTTATCATTATGTCATAATAATTAATCTACAAATCTACAACTAAGAGTCAATTACTTGCAATGACAAAATTTGCAAAGGTTGAGGGAGGTCGCAACTGAGGAAAGTGTTTCTTCTAAATGGACCGATTGTTTGCTTCAAATAAAGTGCAACTGAAAGACTTCATTTGGTAAGTAAACGAACCTGCTGTCTGCTGAGGGACAACTTCACCACTGGTCGAGAAAAAACCAGGAAATGGAAGAGCAGTATCAACTAAAAGGTACCATGACATCCCTTCTGGAGGCGGAGGTAAAATTACAGTTTCTGGATGATCAGCTGCATTGAAAACGATAAATAGATCCCCAGATACATCAGAAGATACAGAGCTCTCTAGGAACTCCGATTTTTCAGCCTTCAAAGTCATGGCCAAGAACTTGCTGGATGGGTCTTCCCATCTTGGAGGAGCCTGGTCACTTCCATGCCATTCGATGTTTTCTTCCTTTAAGAAGCTCCTACTCTGAAGAAGATCACTCCGTCTCCTTCTCAATGAACTTAAAAAGGAAATGAACTGTGTCATTTGTTTACCAAAACCTGTTTTCAAAGCACTCCAATTGAAAGGTTTTATGTCGCCATTTGCAGGCAAACCACCGGAAGACTGACCACACTCATCTCCCATGTTCAGAACAGGTACTCCTAGTGACATGAACAAGATAAAGAGGAAATTACGGATTTGTTTGAGTCGCCTTTCAAGGACAGCAGTGTTATTAGTAGGTCCTTCGTCTCCACAATTCCAACTTAATTCTGCTGCTAGCTCATCACTACTGAAGCTAACCAAGTCCACAAGAGGAAGTCCAAAATTCCTAGCGATGTAATTAAAAGAGAATGCAGGGCCTCGTCCATCAGAAAACGTGTCCCCACTCCCACAAAGTCTTGTTGCAAGGTTGCTAAGAAGATTTTCACCCCTGAGAAAGTTTCTCACATCATTACAAAATTTAGTGTTTATTTCAGCCCATCTCATCCAATGAGGAAAGCGAATTTCCTTCATTACTAAGTCATGCGGATCCCAACAATCTGCAATGACTTTTGTCTTTGAGAGTACAGGATCAAAAGCAATTGCTTCAACTAATGGAGGTCGAGACAAGTATTCTCCATGATATCCCCTCAACATATGTGAAGCATTTATGAAAGAGAAACCATCAATGTGAAACTCAGTTACCCAATACCGAAGACTATCCAGAATCAAATTTTGAACTATAGGATAGTTACAGTTCAAAGCACTCTGTATCTTCAAATTACTTACTCCATTTGCATAATAGTAGGATAAGTCATCAATTCCCTGTAGAGCACCAGTGTCAGCAGTATTGGAGAAAACAACTTCCATGAGAACTTCTATTCCATTGGCATGCATGGTTTTAACCATCTCCTTCATAGAGTTGCTAGTAGACACAGGACCACTAGATGGCCCATAAATGTGCATTGGAGAGAAAAAATGACAAGGGAAATATGGTCCATTTTTCTCATCAAATGTGAAAACTGGTTCCAGCAGAACAGCATTCACACCCAGATCTTTAAAATGCTGCACCTTTTTAGCTAAACCAGTAAAGGTCCCAGTTAAATCACTTGGAACTTGGCTTGACACATGCTGCGTAAAGCGCTTGACATTCAACCGATACACCACTAGTTTTTCCATGGATAAATCAGTACGATAATCATCACCCCAGTCAAAAGCAGGTTCCTTCCCCAAACGTCCAAGATTCTTCACTGATCCAAGATCATTGGGATAAAAATTCCCAATAATCTTAGCATATGGATCCAAAATAATATGCTCAGCAGCACTATCCTTATTTCGCTGAAGAAGAGCTCCTCTACAGCGATAACCATAGCTCACAAAAGTTCCAGCACTCTCAAATGAGATATGCCATATGTCACCTGACCTATTGACATAGGGATCCAGATCAAGCTCTAAAGCAGGTTTCTCCACACCAGTGCCATCATACAAGCACAAAACCACACTCTCTGCGTGTCTCGAAAAAATGGCAAAATTGATAGACCTGTCAGGTGAAAAAGACAGCCCCAGAGGGGCCGGATATCCCGGAAGGGAACCAACCGGCACGCAAAAATTTGTTTTCCTATGGCTTCTGATTTCCAACCCTGCATCCGAGGATGACATCAAGAAAAAAGACAAGTACAAGGGAACATGTTTATTATCAAATCCCAATTCAACTGCAAACTTGCCAAGAGAAGTTTGCATCAAGGGACTAAAATTCATCCCTGTTGCAGCGTCCATCGAATCCAGATGCACCAAACATGAAGAATCAGCTCTATAGACACCCCAACATAACACCAATGTTTCACCCTCAACACCACTCATATCCAAAGAAGAAATCTCAATATAAACAGAATAACTAGCTCTTTTCTTTGTAACATAAACTTTCACCAAACCCCCACCAATTTCTGTCCTAAACAAATAAGCCAATGCTTCTTTTAGGTCTTGGGGTGGGATCAAGGTAGTGACTTGCTGCTCAGTTTCTTCAACAGACAATCGTGATGTGGCACCCAATTTCGAAGTTCGATTTTGGGAAAAGGGATTTATGGGGTTTTGCAATCCAAGTTGATGATGCTTCCTTTGGACACATGATTTGTGAAAGCAAGACCATTTAACTCCGTTTTTATGCTGATTCCAAGGAATCACTGAGAATGAAAACGATGACACGAGATTTGCCATCAAGATTATGGTGTTCAATAATTCACAACGCAGAGGAAGGAGATTCGTGTTGTGTTGTATTGTGTTGGCAACAACAGTGATCGCTAATCAGAGCAAATATATATTGAAAATTTAATTTAAGCGGTGGAAACTTAGGCATTGATCTGATGAGTCACAGAAAGAATGATTAATGGAAAAGATGATGAGGAATTGAGATAAGAGTTGGTGAGTGAGTGTGGTGTGAAATTGTGAATTGTGGTTCACTCACTTGTCTTTGCGTTGTCGTAGTGTAATCATTTCAGGGACAGCACTGTTTGGGCGACACTCGTTTTCTTCTTCACTCCTCATCGTCCGCTTCTCTATCAAAATGATTCTTTGGTTGAAACTATTCTCTGAAACAAACATCGCTTAATATTTTTATGACGTTTGATTCATTCTGAAAACCGTTATTTTTAGGAGAATTTAATTACATTGAATTCAGTCTGACTTGAAAGTTCTCGTTAAAAAAATTATAAAGAAAATAATATCGATATTTATTTACCAGAATTTTTAATATATTTTTATATTACTTTAACAGAAAAGTTATTTATTAGTTGTTTAATTCACATTCTTTAATTAAGACTTTTATTTTAACAATTTTGTTAATTTCAAATTTTAAGATATAATTTAAACATTCAAAAGTAATATAAGGGTATTAAAAAGTATACAAATTCCGTTTCAAGAGTTATACGATGAATTTTTATCTACAATGATCATTTTAAGGGTATTTGCATTTCACAATTTCATTAATAAAGAATCATTCAATATCATTAGACTAGCTTGTAATGTTTATCACTTGAGAGAGGTAAAATTGAAAAATGTATTTTTTTAATTTTTTTTTTTTTGCTATAAAATTGAAATAAGTATTAATTAATATAATAAATGATGTGATAATAAGAAATAAAGAATCATAAATAAGTATTGATATTGTTAGAAATTAAGGATATGAGATAATGTGTTTTGTCAAATCCGGCTTTAATTAACTTTTTATCATTCTAATTTGAGATATGTATAATTTTGATTCTTCAAATTTTTTTAAGCCAACAAATTTCTTCTAAATTTAAAATATACAAATTTAGTTTTTCATTGATTTTTTGTTTACTTAAAATTCTAAATATTTACTAAATTTTTCTAAATTAAATTGTTTACTATTAAAAACTAACCAACTAATTTTTTTTCACTAAACTCTACTTTCACATTTTGTAAAATTCTTAAAATTTTACCAATTTTTCATTAATTATTTTTTAATCCAACTCATCCAAAATTTTGAATAAAAAATTGTAAGACTAATTTTTATAATTTAAAAGTTTAAAAAATTAATTAAGTAAAATAAAATTACTTTTTCTCAGCAATAAAGAATGAATTTCACTATCAAAGTCAAGAGGAAAAAAATTAAGAAAATAAAAAATAAAATAAAAATATATTATGTTTGCATAAGTTAAGAAATAAAAATAAAAAAAATTATAGACCACAATTATTTTTTATTGAATATAATCTTGTTTGAGTTGAGTAAAACTATTATGTAAGATAAAACTTTCTCTCCAAGTAAAAAAAACTCATTTTATATAGGTTTGGATGAGTAGAAAAAAGAATGAAAAAAATAATTTAATTGTATTAAAAAATTTTAATTAATAAAAAATATTTTTAAATATATTATTTTAGTATTTAAAAAACAAAAATAAAAAATACTCTATTTTATTTTAGTATAAATACAACTTATCACTTGTGCAACAAATCAATATAAAAAATATTGTAAAAAATATTTAAAAATAATTTATTTTACAAGTGTTTATAATTCACACATCAAATTTTTAAAAATGAAGTTATAAAAAAATAAGTTAATTTTCATCTGAGAGTTATTTTTGTTCACACAATTATTAATTGTGTAAAATATATTTATAATTTGATTTGTAAAAGTGACATTTTTTTTAATGTTTTTGTTTATTATTTTTTATGTGTTCACTTACATATTAATTCTTTTTTCATAAATGTGTAACCAAAATAAGAATAAAATATAAGTAAAATCATTATACTTTAAAATTAAATAATAAACATCAACACTTAATATAAATTAGTTTCTTAAAAAGGTTAACATGTGATTAAATCAACACATTTGAGCATCAAAATATATATACTTACCATAAAAAAATATTAGTAACACACTTTTATTATTAATTAAAATTTATTAAATTTTTTTAAAAAATATTAACTTAAAGTGAGAAAGTATATGACTCACATAATTTTTATAGTTTTAATAAATTTTAAGTAATAATAAAATGTGTATTACAAAGAGTAGGTTGTTAGTATTATTCTATTAGTAATTATATATGTTACGTGTATACTATGAGTTTGTTTATAAATATAAACAAAATTTTTTTGAAAATTAAAATTTATAAAATTATTATTTATTAAATAATGATAAAAATTATATCAAAAAATTGTCAAAAGTAAGTTTTTAAATGTAAAGAAAAGTAAAAATTTTAAATAAATTTTGAAGCAAATTATATTTATAGAAATAAATATAATAATTAAATTTAACTCTTATTTCAAATATTATTGATAAACTGTCATTCCATGACTTTATATATGAAATTTTAGAGTATTTTTTTGAAATTGTTATTTTACTATAAATTTAACTGTTTTTTAAATATATTATTATAATATTTAAATAATATTAATTATTATTATAAATTACTTTCTATTTGAAAAAAATTAAATTCGTTGCCATTATTATAACATTTATGATATTATTTATATCGATAAAATGAATTTATGATAAAATGAAAAGAAAGAGAAAAAGTGGTCAAAATTTTATCATTAGAATACAAACTAAAGTGTCATATATCAACATCTATTTTGTAAGTGTTTCTAAAAAAATGTATAACTCCATTTTAATACTAAATTCTTATCATAAAATTTATCGTGCACCTAATTAAAAAATAAAATTTATACTATACTATAATATATGAATAACGAAATATATATATAAAAAAAGCACTAAACATAATTTTGGTATATCATTTTTTTTTTGGTAGATTTGTACACTAGCATCTTTTTGCAATTTTTTCTTAGTTTATCTTTCTCAAATTTAATTTTTTTTAGTTAATATTTTGTTCTAAAATTTATCCCCATTCATATAAATATTAAACAAAATTTCATTATATAAATTTTTAAAATATTATTTTTAACATTTTTAAATTACTTAATAACCTCAAAGGATAATTTTATAAAATTAATGATTTAAAATCTTGGTCTTTTTTATAAAATACTATCTTCGGTCTTTTTAATAATAAAAAAAAAGACTAAATTACTAGGATGAAAGAAAGCAATTAAGCAAGTTTTGTTTTTCATAAATATAAATTTTATTTAAAAAATACTCATGATATTATATTACTAGAAAAATACTATTTACAAACGGCTATTACAGACGGATTTACACGCAAATTTTTAGTTTTTTATTTTTTTAAAAAAATTTGTCTATAAAATGAATCTATAATGGCCATCTGTAATTGGCCCATCATTTGGCGCGAAGTATTTTATAAACAGGAACTACAGAGGGATTTTTTCATCTGTAATTTGAAAATGGAAGAGAAATTTAGAGCGAGAGTTATAGACGAAAAAATCTGTCTGTAACTGACTTTTCATTTGACAATCTACAGACGGATTTTTTCGTCTGTAACTGTATTTGATGAATTTATAGATAGATGAATCTGTTAGTAATTGAACTTTTAAAATGCACCATTTTATTAAACCATTTACAGACAAATTTTTTTGTTTATAATGTGCGAAACACATAAATCCGCACTTCCTCCTTCTTCTTCCTCATTTTGCATAATTTCCTCTCTCTCCTCTCTCTCTAGAAACTTCAGTTTTTTGGCCTTTGCGAGTGATTGAAGCATCCATTTGAAAGATAATTTGCATAATTGTGTTCCTGGTACGAAACTGTAACTTTTAATCGGTTTAATTTTTTTATTTTTTGATGTATTTTAGAGACTTAAAATTTCTTATATAAAATTGTAGGATTGAAGATTGTATGAGTGAGAGGAAGAGCGTAGTGGTCCTTCTCCGAACCTGATTATTATATGCTGTGGGATTGTTTGTATTTGCGAAGTTTATAAAATATGAATGTTATGGAGTTATAAGAGGATGTGCTCTAGAATGGTTTAGGATTGTAATGTGTATATTTTTGATGCATTGATTGGTAAATTGTTACATAATATATAGATTATGTATAAAAAAAATTTAGATTTTTATATTAAGTACGTGTAAACAAATGTAAAGAAATATTCATATATTAAGATATATTCTACCAAAATTTACATTAGAAATTTATTGTATTAAGTGTAAATAGATGTTAAGAAATATTTATATATTAGGGGAGATTCTGCCAAAATTTATATTAGAAATTTATTGTATTAAGTGTTAACAAAATAAGAAAATATTCATATATTAGGGGGGATTTTGTTAAAATTTATATTAGAAATTTGTTGTAATAAGTGTAAACAAATATAAGAAAATATTTATATATTAAGGGAGATTCTGCCAAAATTTACATTAAAAATTTGTGTAATGTAAAATAAAAGGTTAATACAATATTGTGTATTTAGTCTCTAAATATGTATTATATTTGATTCAGATATGGCAGAGGGAGGTGCAGCAACAACATATGCAGATGTAGATGCATGCATACTTTGAGAACTCCTCCTTTACTAATGACGATACTTTTTCGGAAGATGATCACACTGATTATTAGTGATATATAATATTATTTTATTTTTAATATTATTTTTTTAGATGTTTACTTCTTCATTTGTAATGACATTTAAATTTTATATTTTATAAATAATTTTTGATTTAAATATATAATTTTGTAATTTTTATTATGTTTATAAATTGTGATAATTAGGAACAGCGAGGAATAATTATGTTTATAAAAAAATGAAATAATTTTTTTGAAATTTCATAAATGAATTACAGACGAATTTTTCTGTGTGTAAATTACATATGGATTTAAAAATCTTTATGTAATTATTTATCGACACGCATATTACAGATGGACTATAACTATCTATAAATCTGTCTGTAATTCTAAAATTCATCTGTAATAATAAAAAAATTTATCTATATTTACAGATTTTCTAGTAGTGTTAAATAATGTAGTTAGTAATTTGTATATTTAATAATACTAATAAAAGAAGAGTATAAATTTTTTTTAATAATTAATGCATCTTAAATCTATCATTTATTTTTTATAATAAGGACTAAGAAAATGTTCTATTTTGTTTCATATATAGTCTTGTTTTTTGAAGCTTATTGTTAAAACAATAATGTTTAAACAGTAATCTAAGCAACAAGTTTTAAAAATTATTCTACTTGTAAAATAGTTGTCATCA